AGCTGAAATTAGCACAAAAGAAACAGAAAATAGCATGTTTGCTGAGTTAAGCCGTATGAAGCTAAATGCATCACAGAAAGGTGAGCTTAGCAGAAAAAGCTCAAATAAGCTAAAAACAGAGAAAACAAAGGAAACATAAAAGCTTAAATAGAAGAAAGAAAGAGAGAGAGAAAGAAAGAAAGAAAGAAAGAAAGAAAGACAAAAAGCTGAAATTAGCTTAAAAGAGCCTAAAAGTAGCTGAAATTAACATAAACAGAGCATGTTTGCTGAGTTAAGCAATAAGAAGTTGAAATGATCTTAAAAATGTGAGTTTAGCAGAAAAAGCTCAAATTAGCTAAAAGTAGCTAAAACCAGAAAACAGCTGAATTTAGCAAAAAAACAGCTGAAAGAAACATAAAAGCTTAAAATAGCAGAAACAGCTAAAAGAAGCTCAAAAGGTTTAAATTAGCAGAAGAATAGCATAAAAGGTCAAAACGATAGCTAAAAATCAGCTAAAAAGAAGCCAAAGGAAGCTGAAATTAGCTCAAGGAAAAGAAAAAAGCAAAGCCATAACAAAAGGTAAAAAAGGGAAGTAAAGTCGTAGGATTATTTTGAAGATTTTTACTTATGTTTTCAGTGAGGAAAAAGCTAAATATCTCAAAAGTATAAATTGCTGAAATATCAAAGGTCATAGCCGAAATGTCGTAAAGGAGTTGAACATTTTGATATAGAAATTATTGAAATAGCATAAAAAATGCGGAACGAGATACATGCCAAAAAAAGTACGAAAAAAATCGTAGTAGCATGAGCACTTGATAAGCGTTCACACAATAATTAAAGAACAAAAAAGTGGAGCTTTTTCGAGTCGTTTCAGCTGTGAGTAAGAAGAGGACAAGAAGCCGTTTTCCAGGCAGAACTTTCCTGCAAGTCGCTGCTCGTCTGCACATTCATGCCAGCGATGATGTCATCAGAGTTTTGATGAAAGTGTCACAGCTTTATCTCCTCTGGCAGATCCCTCATGCTCCTTACCTATTGGCCTTTGGTAGGAAATTCAATTTGATTCACCACTCTGAAAGTTGAAGTGCTGCGAGTGACATTTACCTGCGTACGAGGTGGGCTGTGCCTCGGCAGAATTACTGAGAGCAGAAACTGTTGACAAACTGAAAAGGGGTGAAAAAAAACGGTAGAAGTCGAAGAAGGGATCACATGAGAGGCTGGAGGAAAGATTTGCCTCAGCTGTGACTCCCCAAGAAGCGTGCTTAATTCCTGTCAGCGCTGAGCTTTTATCCGTTGTGGCAGAATTACATTTCCATGACTTCACATCCACTGGCAAATTCAGACAGGGGAGTAATGAGGATCTCTAGAACCACTGAATTAATACGTCTTCTCTGATTGTCCCCATCCTCATTCGCTCATTGTGCCATTTTTTATTCGCCGTTGTCACTCGCCAGCCTCTCAAAAGCGCCCGCTCCATCTCCCCACCCCCCCCTCCCTGGCGCCACTCCCTAACTTCTTCCTCCTTTTTATCCTCCGTTGTTTGCCGCTTGTTCCTCGATTAGTCACATTAGCGCACCACTCCCCGCACCACACTCTGAAATACTCTTTCATTTCCCCAGCCTCTGTCATAACCTCGTCTAAATGATAGTTGCTAAGACTCTGGAATGTTTGTCTCCTCGTTTGTTTCTTCTTTCATGTATAGACACGACTTAAACACACCTAGAAACCTGTAGGACGGAGATGAGAAAGAACTTTTCTCGAATTCTTCCTGCTGTTTGTTTTGTGCTTCAACCGAAATGCAAGCTTTGATTGGCTTTGCGTTTGTTTACCATTTGTCTCTTTTAAAGACTCGTGTCTAATTTACATAAAATCCTTCGACGGCCGACACTCGTTCGTGTTGTAAAGGAAATGGATTTTGTCACTTAAATGTTTGGGACGTAGTAAATCATCCACTCCATCATGTCAAACGCGAGTGTTCAGGGTAGCATGATTAATCCTAAACGGCACAGTCGCGGCATTAAAACAGTGGAAGTGTTTCCCGTTATTCATAACCTCTATATATCTGTCATGGCTGTGGATTGAATTATAGCCTTTCACAGCACATGCTTTCTACTATTAATCTCAGCGGCACTTTTTAGACGTTTGCTAGTCGGAGTTGCCCCACTATCTGCATGTTTCCACTGTGGCGCTAATAGACACCTTCTTTGTTGGCTGGAACAGTATCAGAGCTGCTGTTGTGCTTCTGAGGTCGTCTTTATCAGCCTGTTGGCAGGTGTTGCCGGCAGCGAAGGTGTGCAGAAGAGAGAGAAATTAAAAAAAGGCCCCCCTCTTTTCCTCCATGCTGTCAGTTCTGCCTCCATATCCCATTTCAAATGTATTTTTACACAATTATTGTATCTGTAATATGATTAGCTTGCACCATGGCAGCTCCTGTTTCACAAACGGTGACGGTGCTCGAGGTAGACAAAGACGTTTTTGTCGGAGACGTTTATTTTATTTATTTTTTTCTTTTTTTTTTTTTTTGCCGTCCTTATTTTTGCAAGGCCAGTGAGGCGACCTTGTGGATGGATAAGAACGGAGCAGGAATGGGGTAGATAACATTCCAAGAAAAAAGCAGTCCACTTCGCCAAAACATCTTTTTTTTTTTACCCGTGTCCCTGCACCGCACTGAAGCAGTGTTTTTAAAGTACTCCAATTATAAAGCGAGAGCCGTCCAAATAAAGCATTTGTTTTTTGGCAGGACGAAACCTAACACTTCCCCTTGAACGGGGTAGTCCCAAAAAATACCTGAATATTAAAGAGTTGCTTTGATGTTTATACTTTGTAGGAATATTGGCTCATTTTTTGGCCATTAGTGCTCACGTTTTTGAAATATGGGTGTCAGGAAGTGGCATATTTCGATCTTTTATTGGGATGTAGATGGCAAAGAGCCTTTGAAGGTACTTTGTATCATTTTACCAGGCTGACCTTTCGTCTTTCACCTCTTTAAATTGTAGTAAAAGTGGCATCTTTGCTGCCATAAAAAAACTTAAAGGGAAAATCCTTCTAATTAAGATTAAAGGAAGGATTTCTAAGAGGAAAAACAGATACTTTGAGGGGAGGGCAGTGAAGAGGATTGCACCTGAATGTTTTTCAGTTTTTGATTTTTTCTTCCCGTTCTTTCAATCATCTGGATTTTCTCCTCTTTCTGGACTTGGTGGGAGGATGTGTTTTCTAGCAGGAGCGACCTGGCTCTGCTCTCTCACTGATGTGTGTAATGAAGGCCTGTGTCTGAATAATCCCATTAGGTGGTCAGATTAAAACCTGAGCTGATATTTGAGACCATGCCCGGCACCGCTTTAGAAAATGGAGAGCTTTTCGAAGCCGGCCCTGGGAGAAAGACGGCGGCGGAGAGGACCGGCTGTGTTCAGGAGGTCTCACCTCTTCGGACTGATAGAGTGGCGTCCTAACGTCGCCCAGAACTGTCTTTTCAGACCTGAATTATGCTCCTCGTTTCTAGTCAAGTGCAGTTTTTATCCAGTGTTACAAATTTGATTGAACACTTTTCTTATTTTATTTCATTTATGTTTGGTTATAAATGAGCTTCCCTATCCTCAGCCCTGCTCAGGGGCACAGCTGACACAGTCATTGGCGCCATTGTGTTGTTTGTTAACGGATTGGCTTCCTGACTGCTTCAGTACTCGTGCTTATCAGATCCAGATGAACATATGGACACTGTTACGATCTGTCCCATTTAGGTTTTGATGTCTCGGAATAGGCTGGTAATAAAGTGGTACATATCAAAGCACAACAAACGTGGTAATCGTATCAAAAGCAGCAAATCTTTGGTTTCTTCTGATCGCCTTGGATTGGTACATTATAAACTCTGGTTTACCCTTAGTGAACAAAAGGCTTTAGTTTTGTTTTGTTTTGTTTTGTTTCAGCTGCGTTGTTTGCGTACTAGATGTTGATTTTCCCCTTCTTCGGCTTCCATAAATAAAATTAAACGTACCTTTTCGTTGGAAGTTTACCCAAGCCTGCAACGCTTTGATCAGTCTTTAGATAAAAGTCTCTTTCTGCCGTTGCTTGAAGGAACTTTGCAGAGTTTACGTGTTGATACACGCTGTACAGTCAGTTTTACAGTAAGCAGTGAGTAAACCAGCTGATTTTCTGGTGAATTAGCTGTGATGGCTCGCTTTAGCTCCAGATATGCTTCTGTACTATTATTGTAGCTTTTTTTTCAGTTTTCTGATCTCAAGACGACATGCAAGCAGGATGTCAGACATTTTAGTTGCTGTCTCCAGCAGGCTACATGATACGAAGACACATCTGTGACACATTGAATAGTCTTCGTCTCTTTTCTCTGTTGTCTTTTTCTGAAAAATATCTTGCTCTTTCAAATGTATGCTATCTTTTTTTTTTCACTGTGTAGCCTGAATGAAAGCGTTTCATGTTTCTCTGCTCTCTTGATGCATTTCGTCTGCTTGGCTGCTGGTAATCATCCCTGATGATGCTCGTTCATTTCATTACCTCTGCACTGATGATGATGAAGATGTGCTCTGTTTTATACTGGACTGGATCATGATATGTCTTTGTATGCACTTGTTTTGTCTGGAACTCACTACGATGAGTCGATCAACTGAAAACCTACATGAAAAATGCTTTTTTTGTTTTGTTTTTTTGCTGCGTTCTGATCAAATTGTTTCATTTCCCTTCATGTTTCAAAGAGAAGAATTACCAGTTAATGCATGTTATTAAGCATTCATCCACCTTTTTGTCTTCAGTGGTCTTGCTCTGCTTATGTTGTGGTGGTCTGGCTGTTCCTGTCTAAAACTGCATGTTGCTGTGCCACAATAACGCCGAGGGCTCCTTTGGGACTGGGTGGGTGTGGGCTGTTATGCGTATGGGGGGGGTCCTTCCTTTTCCCTTTGCTTTTCCGTCCTCGTCTCCCTTCCTTCATCTTTCCTTTTAAAAAAAGCACCTGCACAAATGCACCTCCTCCCACCAGAGCACTGACACACTCCCATCTGTCTTTTCCTACCCAGAATACCCTACCACCCCAGAACCCGGGACCCCCAGGTTCACCCAGAGTCCGCACAATGCGGGCGCCGCCATTGGGGGCGCCGTGGGGGGAGTTGTCCTGTTGGGCGTGGCGGCCGCGCTGCTCTTCGTGTTCCTCCGCCGCCGCCAGCGCACCTTCAAGGGCGACTACAGCACCAAGAAGCACGTGTTCGGGAACGGGTACAGCAAGGCCGGCGGCCTGCCCAGCCACCCCCCCATGCCCAAGAACCTGCAGTACACGGAGGACTCGGACGACGAGAAGAAGCCCACCCAGATCAGCACCACCGGCGGGTTCGAGGCGAGCGAGCGTAACTTCGACGCCGAGTCGGAGGACTTGAAGAGACCGTACTTCACTGTGGACGAGGGGGAGAGCCGGGACTACGACGAGCGGACTCTGGCCTTCCAGTACGACCCGGAGCAGGAGATAGCCGACGATATGATCTCTCAAACCGACGGTTCTGTCATTTCTAAGAAAGAGTGGTACGTGTAGTGGCATGCAACAACCAAAACAACCTTCTGTTCCCCACCTGCATTCCATCTCACCTTCACCTCCATCCCCCACACCTTCACACAGTCCTGCCCCCCAACCCTCATCAGACCCCATCCAGCTAATCTCACCTAGAAAGGCGAGGGTCTACTTAAAGTGCAACAAAGTATGAACTTACAGCGTTATGATCAGTTCCATCAGGTGAACAGGGGGGGGGAAATAAAAACTAAGGTATGTCAAACGACTTGCTGAACAGTGATTGGTTTGTTAATGTTGTTGTATTTCTTCAGTTTGTGTATTTTTTTTCATGTTATAAATGTATTAAATGTTAAAAAAAAAAGAAAAGAAAACAGGTTGAGGTTTTGCCGAGCACATTTGTGAAAGTCCAACACTGGATGTTTGGTTTGTTTTCCTTTTCTATCAGCATTGAAATGTGTCATTTTTTTTATAATCTCTTTTTGTAAGACCTTTAAGTGAGCAGAGAAGTCATGGTTGCTGTTTCAATTTTTTTTAATTTTTTGGTCAAGTGTTTCAGAAAAGAAAGAAAATACTGTACAGACTTGTGTCATTTATAACAGCTCTAATAAGCTGTTCTCCAAAGACATGATGAATATTTCGGCCCCTCGTGTTTATGTGCTGTAATTGTTTCATCACTAAGATGGTGTCAGTCTACTGAGCCATATAGATGTGGCAGCAACATAAAAATGCTATGTTTTTTTTACTAGAACCTTGTCCTTGTATAATCAGCGCCCTTAACGGTGATTCAGAAAAGCTGAAAAGGGCTGCAGTTGTGTCATAAACAACAATTTCAACTTTTCAGTGGTGCAACGTGATTACGTCCAAAAGACATTTAGTGAGTCTCACAGGAAGATCTCTAATAACGCTCTGAAATGTCATGATTGTCTCTTGACTTGAACAGTTTGACCTGTGTGCACACGCTCAAAATATTACCACTATAATGAAATGTCTGGGGTGTTTTTCTGTGCGTGTTGAGCTGTGGCGATTATCTTTTTTTCTGACCCCCTTTTTATCGAAAACGGATGTCAGCGAGAAGCGTCTGAGGATTTCTCCCAATAATGACACTGCCTCTCCAGTTTGGGACTGTTTGCTGAAGAGCTGGCTCACGTCGACGCGTTTTTTTTTTCCACGAGGAGTCGTCCGCGGACACGGAGGACTGACATGAGGGGGGCGGGATGTCAACCCGATGCTTGTATTTAAGCCGACCGAAAAGATTTTAACAAGGAAAGGGATTTAAAGCCGTAACGGTGGCCATGCTGCATTGTAAGTAAGCAGTAGAGAAAAAGAAGCCAGCTGCTGCTTTTTATTTTAATTTTTACTTTAATGAATTTCAGTTCCTGTTTTTTATTTTTTTATTATATTTTTTTTTGGTCATTTTTAAAATAACAAATAGTTTTACTTTAATGTGATTCGAACCTGCGTACATGGACACTGTCTGCAGGTATTTGTTTTTAAAATTGGTGTGAACAAGTGCCAGTGGATGCTAGTACAGCAACAGACTCTTTTTTTTCTCCTCAGCTTTGAGGTTTATTATCAACAAAATGTTTTTGATTTGAACTAAAAAAAAAAGAGAAAAAAAAGCAGCTCAATGTGAGAAATCCGCGATAAAAGAAGCGTCGCAGTAAATCTGTGGATGTAAACAACATATCTGACTGGCTCTGAACAATATAAATACTGTATTAAGCCTTATTTTATGCATGTTTTTATGTGTGGGAGTGGAAATGGATTTGTTTGTATTTCTTTCTTTTTTTTTACATTCAATTTGTGTGTTTGTCCTCAGTTGCAGCTTAAAAGATGACTCTTTTTTTCTGTGTTATCAGTACTGACAGAGGTATGAGTTTATCGGTACGCGGTACCCGGCAACAATATTGTAGTTAACACAAAAATACATGTATAAATATATATGTTAATTAATAAAGATGACAAAAAAACATGTCTGTGAGATGAGAGCTCGCAGGTGTGAATGTTTTACAGTCCATGCTTGTCTATTGTATGCTTTTAGATGAGCATGTTAATCATGAGCCTCAAAACTATGTATAAAAAACACAAATTAGCATTCAAAAGTGGAAACTATCATGTTCTTAATTTAAAAAAATCAGTTTGAGTTTAGTTCTGTTCCATTTCTAGATTATATTTCCTGGTTCGAATCATTTTTGTGGCCTTATGTTTATTTCATTGATGTACGATTTAAAGTAAAGTAAATAATAATTTCCGCTGTCAGCGAACAAAAAGACATTTGGAGTTTTATAATGTTTATTTCACAGGCAGGGGGACTGCTTTTTTTCATACGCCTTTTTAATATTTTTCATTTCAAACACTTTACAATGCATCATAAACACAAAAGCGCAGTTTTATCTTTTATTCCTACATTTGGTGCCTTTCAAGGTAAAGCGGCATTAGGTAGTCTGAGCAGTCACTTTCTGATCATTTAGCTTATTCACATCCTAAATAGCTCCATAAATAATGCTGGATGGAAAACAAACCTCTTAAATTTCAGACAAATGATAGTTGTTTACACGTTCCAGTTCGAGTAGTCGGGGGGTCCGTCCCCTCCCCTCCCAGCTGCGGCACTTTATTAACCCTGCGTCTATACTTGATGGTTAAATCAAATTAAAAGCTGCATTTATTACCATTTTAAACTAATGACGACTAAATGTTGACACAGCACTCAGTACTTGAATGGTTTAAGTCATAAAGAGATCTAATTTCTGGAAATTAGTCACACGTTGCTGACTTTCTTAAGCACAACAATCGAAACAGTAATCCAATGAAGAGATATTTGACTCGTACGTCTGAATTAATCAACGTTGCCCCCGTTTGAAAGCACAAATGCGAGGTTTTTATTTAACATTCTGCTGCGTTCATGAGGAAACCACTGCCACGCCTGCTTCTTAGTCATGTTGCAAAGAAAAACAAATCATTTCATTCGGGAGTTAACGTTTGTGTGAACCAATCTTAACGTTAATTTTGTGTAATAGTGGCCATAACTTCATTCCATCCTAATCTACATTTTGTATTCAGTATGTTCAACATTCCACTGTAAATACTGTACATACAGTTGAGATTATAATCTGGGTTTATTTGGGGTTATCTGTGTTGGGAGCCTGTAATGTAAAATAAACCTTATTTTGTCTGCAAACACGGAGAGTCTGTGATGGATAGATGAAGTTGATGCTTAAGGTTTTGTTTTTTCTTTTCTTTTCTAAAAATCCCACCTGAAAATGTTCATCTCATACCTTTTCCACATGCCAACAATGACTTGGTTGACATGACTGGGCCGGGTTACAGTTTGTCAATATGATGGTACTGAACTAAGCTCAAGAGAGGGGAAAAAATGTTTTTATGCAGCCATGTGAATGTATATTTCTGAGGGTGTTATAAATATAAAAAAGTTTAAAAAAAGACTTGTTCAATTGTGATGACCCCGTAAAGTAACTTGTATTTGTTTTAAGCATTAAATGAGTTCAATAGTCAACAGCGTTTCGTCCCAGTTCACTGATTGACTAGATCTGTATTACCTAATTGAATATGATCCATGATTGCAACACGTTTCTTATCACTGTGTATTGATTTTTTGGTAATTGCAGCCTTTTTCCCTGTTGTTTTGATCAGTGATGTATTGTTGTTTCCTAACGCAGGTACTCCATTGAATTAAGTTGTCTGACGTGCCTGAAATGTCACACAAAAAACATTTGTTCTGCAAATAAATTTAGGTTAGAAACAAAAGTCTTTGTTATGAAAGTAAAGTGGTCCCATAACAAATTTTAATTACATTTTATTGTTGAGACAGAGGACTTATACAACCTAATTCCAACAACGTTGGGGTGTTGGGGAAAAAAACAAACACAATGCAATGATATGCAGATTTCAGAAGCTCTTATTTTATTCACAGCGGAAAATAGTAACCATAGAAAATGTTTCAATTTTTGTGACCCCCCGCATCGTAGAACAGGTGCTGCAGGAGCAACCAAAGGCTGTAAAAGGGCGTGGTTCCAATAAGAAACAAGAAGAAAATGTTGCAACAAGGTAAAATCTATCAAGCAACGTGAACGCCATCCAGAGTCGCCATCTTTTCTGAGCCAAAATGAACTGAGACGTGAAAACCCTGTTCTGTGGTCAGACAGATCAGTTCACGACTCAAAAGCATGTCTCTGATGATATCAGGGTGCATTAGTGCCTCTTGAACAGATGGCACATCGAGGAAGACATCAATGCAAAATAGTGAATACAGGTTTTAGAGCAGAGCTGACCAAAGTGGGGCCCATGGGCCAAAATTGGCCCCCCAAGCCATTTGATTAGGCCCAGCAGCAGTTGTCCTGGGTTGTAATCTCCTGTCTTATGTAGAAACTATATTTCCATTTAGTCATTCCAACCATTGGTCCAACTGTAGTACAGATAGTCCATGGTACTCCATTTATCTTTGCATTATATTAAAGGGGCAATATCATGTAAAATCAACTTTTTTGAGTTTTATATCATGTTATAATTTTATACTCTCATAAAAAAAACATGCCCAAAGCCTTGCTTTGACTCTTTCATGCATGTTTGAGAAATCCTGCAGAGTTTTTATGAAGCCATGCTGAGGAGCAAAACGACAGGTGGGGACCAGAAACACCTTTTGGGACCAGAAACACCTTTTGGGACCAGAAACGCCCCTGGGACTTGTCTTTAAGCCGAACTTCCTCATGGCAGAGTGCACCCCCTCCCCTCCCCACACATCCTGCCAATGACTCCTGCAGACTCTCGAGTGAAACTGAAAGTGAAACTTAACTGTCTGCTGAGCTCCATTACTTCTCACTCAGTGAAGCTCTTTTCAGATTAAAAATACCTTTGAGGAAACGTATTTTCTGATGCCAAGTAAACTGCATCATAGCAGCACCCCCCTCCCCATGAGTGTGAACCCCGCCCACACTGAAATGGGCGGGACAGAAGCAGAGGGTGGTTCTTAAAGAGACAGAGACCAATTTCAAGGCGTTTAGATGAGGAAGTAATGAGAAAAGTTTATTTTCTATTTAAACATAAAAACAGCATTTTAATAACAGCTAAATGTGACATAGATAATTTATTATGGTATAGTATTTAAATATATGCCTGAGAAACACATAATATTGGCCCTTTAAGATTAATCATAAAATGCAATTAACTACAAAAGACATTTAGATTAGAATTAAGCACATCTAAGTTTGCACACTTTATCAAATACAAACATTTTAATTAATGAAAAGTCCCATGAGCCTTTGCGGCCTGAGCAAATGTCCAATTTTCTCCACGATCATGAGCTAAAAAAACATAAAAAACAAACAAACATCCAAAAAAATGTGAGCCACTGCACTGGCTGCTAGTTTAATCTTATAAACAAACAACTTTACTTAAAAAGTATTTGCATTCCCTGTATTGGCAGGGAAAATGTTTTAGAGCACCCAACAAAGAAGAGGACTGCTGAAAGAAGACGAGATGCTTCACAGTCCCAACGCTATAAAAATGTGAATAACATCTGAATTTATGAGATTTGTAAATCATTGCATTTTGTTTTTCTTTATACTTTCGACACTGACCTAACTTTCACAGGTTTGGGTTTGCACATTGCGACCTCTGTTTTAAACCACGAGAAAAAGAAATCTATGTACATTTTCACAATATTTAATCACAGTTAATTGAGTTATGATGGATAATGAAGCTTATGTGAGAGTAACAAAGGAAAGATAAAGGTTCACATGTAGGGAGTTTTTGATTTGATCAGTGTAACTTGCTGCTTTAATTGGAAAGCAAAACAACTGTCAAACAGATGTTGATATTGAGTTTGGTGCTTAATGAAGCTGCAGTGATATGATAAGATAGGGCTCAGTGTAGAGCCAGACAGATCTGTCTCAGACTGTGGGACTGGAGTGCAGACATCTGCACCGTGCACATTAAGAACAGCCCAGAGTTTGCAGCTGTTGCCATCCATTTGCTAAAAGAGCCTTTTGTAGCCCTCAGGGCTTTGATGGCACATAGGCTTTTAACATGCATGGGCATCCGATTCTTTTTCTCTTGCTTCACAGGAATTTTACCACAAAATTTTCTGTCAAAATACCTCGAGGATAAAAAAATGGCTGCATTTTAGTTTTAAAAATGAACTCATATTGGGCTATTAGTTAAAAAAATGATCTTGTTAAAGCACCTTGCAGAGTGTGTCACGATATTCCACAGCCTGAAATCACAGAATACAAACTGTGTTTTGCAGTGTTAAAGAGGACGATGTGCACAGAAAATATGAACAATGATCAAACTGTGCTTGTTGTAGTTTAGATAAACTGGGTGCTTCGATGTTTTTCATCTATACAGAGGTAATAGGTTCAGAGAAGTACTGAAATTACGGCTGAGTAATTATTCAGTTTTTTAATTCACCCCCTGAGTTAAACCCCGTTGCTGTTCAATGTGTTTATTTCTAGAGTCACTTTATTTGTTTTATGCCAGAACCGCTCATTGAACTCTGGATTAGACACTTAAACGTGTGAGATATTTGGCCTTGCGGGAGCCTTCTCGCTGTTTTGAAATGTTGAGCCTCCAATAAGACAAAAAAATAATAATAATCGATCCAAATGGCTTCAGAGGTGCAGACCCTCAGCCAGTATAACGAGTCATTACACCATAGTGATTGGATGGTTAATGGACGTTGTGTATTTGCATATTCGATTCGTTGAGCTGAATAAAAGATCAGTAAGGTGTATTTTACCTGCTCTGCTCTGCAGCTTTGAGGCCTGTTTGTTTACTAATAAACTAATAAAAAAAGATGGGGATAATCTCACATTTATTCAAATAACTGTTTTTTTCCTCTGCTGTAACTCTGCCGTGTAAGTCACTTTATGAAATGCCTTTTTTTTTTTAAATAAATGTTCTCATTGTTAAAAGACCCAAAAACCTGTGTCAGAGGCTGTAAAAGCAACAAAAAAAGCTTTGTTGTGTCACCCCGGCTTGTTCATGCATTGTGCATTCTAATAACCTCTTTGGATAAACAGATTGTTCACAGCTTCTAGAAATAAACTATGCTCTTTTCCTTTCCCTTCCTTTTTCACTCTGCTCTTACTTTCAGCTTGCATTGAGGTTTTTTTTATTATTATTAAATTGTCTTCCTGTAAAGAATGCTCCGACGCTTTTTGCTCTCATGGTAAACCTTCTCAAACGTCCCCCCGCCCCCTCAGGGGTCGTAGAATCCAGCCTAATAACCGTCACTCACGCGGACGCAGGAAGGCAGCATCTAATCAACTCCACCATCATAAAAGGNGGTTTGAGTTTGACTTCAGCTGCCCTGCGACAAGATTTGGTTTATTTGAATCTACCTGCTGCCGTGTTAGCGTATTATAAAATATTTCCTGATAACGAATCCTGCAGTTTGAGGTATTTCAGTGTGGACAGAGTGTAGCACTCCAACGGCTAACCGTTAACTTACACTAGAGGTGGTTCCACTCTGCTCAAAAGTGGTGCGCGGTTCTCCGGCCATTCGCTTGCACCCCGATTTATAGAGAGTCCGCTCTGCTCCGGTCCGGTCCGCTTCGGTGCGACGCACAGAGGAGTCGGAGAAACGTGTGCAGGAAATGTGAGCTCACACGATAAATCCAGGGATAAATGTAGAAGTCAGAGCAAAATAATTAAAAATGTGGAAGACGGACTCCAAACACAGCTGAAACTGCATCGCTGTCGTCTTTTTGAAACTTCTGATTTCAAAATAAAACTCATGTGTACACATGCATGTTGCCATCTGCTTCCTAAACAGAACCATACATTCTGACAGCATTTGCGTAAAAATAAACCCATGTTTTTTAATATAGCTGGAATTTCAACAAAAAATAGTATGCGTTTGTGAATTCTCTTGAAAATACGGATGTTGTGCTTGTTCCTTTTCCTGTTTAAAGATTGACTCTGGAGCAGCTCTGGCAAAAATAAGATTGAATCTAATTTTGGCGGATTGCAGTCCCCTCACCGCCGCCCTGCGCCACCGTCTGGAGCCAATCTGGTTACTTTCACTGGGCCTCATGCAAGAACATGTTCGTATTCTTATCCTAAATTTCTCTTACTTTTGTTCGTATGAAGGGTTTGTAC